AAGGCCTGGGACCATGTGCTGGGATGTGAAAATACATGATCAGCACTTTAGAGATTTGTGGGAACTTCAGAAGAAAAGCAGTACAGCCCCATGGGGACCTGATGTTCGAATAGCAAATACATCTGACAAAGACTCGCACATTAGTTATGATCCAGAAGGTGTTGTTCTCAGTTATCAATCAGTAAAGGCAGATAGCATAGAAAAGTTGGTGGCAGATATAAAAAGGCTCTCCAATGCAAGAATGTTTGCCTTTGGGATGCGGAAACTGCTTGGGGTTAGAACATGTGAGAAGCCAGAAGAAAGTAATATGACCTCAGATGTTAAAGCACCAGTTACCAAAGTTTCACCTGACACAGTGGATAAGTTATCCGAACAGATGAGGAGGGCATTTAGAATTGAAGCAGTTGGGTTAATGTGCTTGTGGTTTAGTTTTGGTTCTGGTGTGTTGGCACGTTTTGTTGTAGAGTGGGAATCTGGTAAAGAGGGTTGCACTATGCATGTTTCTCCCGATCAACTTTGGCCTCATACCAAGGTTTGTTCAACATCCCTAGTCCTTTATTTTACCGTATTGCATTTCCTTTTCTCATTCTTCTTTTAGGATTTCTTTCATCGGGTATGAATCAAATGAAAGAAGTTCCTCATATTCTATTTACATATTAAGTCTTACTCTCTCTCTCTCTCTCTCTCTCTCTCTCTCTACATGTGCCTATCTAAGAAATATTAATAAATTTTCCTTTTAATCTAGGTTTAAATTCCTTGATTTTTTTTCCTTTTTCATTATTTTTGCCTGCCTTAGGACTGCAATAAGAGTGTTATATGGCTTTTGTTATTGTTGCTTGTAATGAATTTGTTTGCAATGAATGTCTTACTATCAAAGTTAAATAATCAGTCGTGTAGGAAAATATCAGTGAACTTTCTTATCTATCTATATTTAAATTTCTTATTTATTTCATTTCTAATTTTTTTAATTATTATTATTATTTTTCCTAAAGATGGAGAAGCAATTTATATATATGTGTGTGTGTGTGTGTATATATATATATATAAAGAACTTCCGTTTGCATAATGCTCCAAAAGATTTAAATCTGTCATTAATTCAAATACTGATGATCTACACGCCTTGGTCATGTTTCTTCAAGTCATTAGGACATGAGTTGAATATTTTGCCTAGATATATTTTCAGTTTTTATAAATATGTTAATTTGTATATATTTCTGGTGTGTACAGTTTTTAGAAGATTTTATAAATGGAGCTGAAGTTGCATCACTTTTGGATTGTATCCGACTCACTGCTGGACCACTACATGCTCTAGCAGCCGCAACCCGACCTGCTCGAGCCGGTCCTGTTTCGACACTTCCTGTCATAGCCGCAGCTCTCTCTTCCCTTCCAAAACATGGAGCACATACACCAACTCAAAATGTTTTACCTAGCAGTTCAGGTACTATCACTGGCCAAGCTACCAATGGCCAAGTGGGTAGCACTGTTTCTTCAAGCGTTGCTGGCCCTCTTGCAAATCACAGCCTTCATGGGGCTGCAATGTTAGCTGCTGCTGGACGTGGTGGGCCTGGCATTGCTCCTAGTTCATTGTTGCCAATAGATGTTTCTGTTGTGTTGCGTGGTCCGTATTGGATAAGGATAATATATCGAAAACAATTTGCAGTTGATATGCGCTGCTTTGCAGGAGATCAGGTATGGTTACAACCAGCAACGCCTGCCAAGGTCAACCCTTCAATTGGAGGGTCATTACCATGCCCACAATTTCGGCCATTTATTATGGAGCATGTTGCCCAAGAATTAAATGGTTTAGAGCCGAACTTCCCAGGTGTTCAACAAACTGTTGCACAGTCAGCCCCAAACAATCAGAATCCAAATTCAAGTTCACAGACGACAGCTGCAAATGGAAATAGACTTAGTCTTCCTGGTTCTCCTGCAATGTCTAGGGTGGGAAATCAGGTGGCTAACGTAAATCGTGGTGGAAATGCTCTGCCTGGATCTTCAAATTTGGCTTCTGTGAGCTCAGGATTGCCACTACGGAGACCACCTGGAGCAGGCGTCCCTGCACACGTGAGAGGTGAATTGAATACAGCTATTATTGGACTTGGGGATGATGGCGGGTATGGAGGAGGCTGGGTTCCTCTTGTTGCTCTTAAGAAAGTTTTAAGAGGTATCCTCAAATACCTTGGAGTTCTTTGGCTGTTTGCCCAGCTTCCTGATCTTCTGAAAGAGATCCTAGGTTCAATTTTGAGGGACAATGAAGGTGCATTGCTGAATTTGGACCCCGAGCAGCCTGCCTTACGTTTCTTCGTGGGGTAAGTGTGTTGCAGTTTTGATTCTATTTTTTTTGGTTTTGCAATTGTCGAGTAGTAAAGTTAGCAAATTCACTTGCATTATCTGTTTATTTTTATTATTTCTTATATCAATATTGGATATATACATATACATATATATTTTTATAATTCGTTTCCAAACAAATTCCCCAAAATGGTGCTTTCATCCTATTAATCATAACTTTGCTTTTCTTTTGAACTGTACTCCTAAAAGTTTATCCCCGTTTTTTGCATTTCCAAATTATTTTAATGACGACCTGTTTAGCCTACATTTCGAGTTGTTCATTTCATCCAATTACGTATTTTTTGTAGGGGATACGTATTTGCTGTAAGCGTTCACAGAGTTCAACTGCTTCTCCAAGTGCTTAGTGTGAAGCGTTTCCATCATCAACAGCAGCAACAACAGCAGCAAAACTCCACCACAGCACAAGAGGAATTGACACAATTAGAAATTAGTGAAATATGTGATTATTTTAGCCGCCGTGTTGCATCAGAGCCGTATGATGCTTCTCGCGTTGCATCTTTCATTACACTTCTTACCTTGCCAATATCAGTTTTGAGGGAATTTTTGAAATTGATAGCATGGAAAAAGGGAGTGGCCCAGGCACAGGGTGGAGATATTGCTCCTGCACAGAAACCCCGCATCGAGTTGTGTCTTGAAAATCATTCTGGGTTGAGCATAGACGAGAATGCTGAAAGGTTGACATCGAAAAGCAATATCCATTATGATCGACAACACAACTCTGTCGATTTCGCTCTGACCGTTGTTCTCGATCCTGCTCATATACCTCACATGAATGCAGCTGGTGGCGCAGCGTGGTTGCCATACTGTATCTCAGTGAAGTTGAAATATTCCTTTGGTGAAAGCCCTGTTGTCTCTTTTCTGGCTATGGAAGGAAGCCACGGCGGCAGAGCATGCTGGTTGCGCGTTGATGACTGGGAAATGTGTAAACAGAAGGTGGCTCGAACAGTCGAAGTGAGTGGAAATTCAAACGGAGATGCTAGCCAAGGAAGGTTGAGAATTGTAGCAGATAATGTCCAAAGGTCATTACATGCATGCCTTCAAGGATTGAAAGAAGGAAGTGAAATAACTGCAATCACAGGTTCAACATCGTGACGATCATAAGTACACCGGTACTCGTTCGTTACATCAATCGATATGCAATATTTTCACATTGCCTGAGCCTTCTCCATGTACAAGTTTTGAAGTCATCGATCGAAGAAGCACGTAATAATGGGAAAAGGAAGTCAATCGCAGCGACAACGAAGAAATTGTGGTATAAAGTTGGCGGGACTCATAACATCAGATTTCATTGTAGATTTGGCAACACATTGAGGTATGTTTTGGTCTAATTTGCTGATTTAGAATTTCAGATTGATAGATGCTGCTCGTTTGAGCTGGATCCATATAAAATCATATGATATTAGGGCTTATAATATGTTCTACCGTCAGCCTATTATAGCATTTGAAAATCATTTTTTTGGCTCTGGTTTGTAGATATCACACTAATCAGGCTACTATGTAAATTTATTCTGTTACACTTGTACACCTCCGTAGCCACTCTGCCTCAGTTGCTTCAATCCAAGTCTAGAAGATAGGTATCTTTCATATTATAGAATGTACTCATTTTTTTAAATCTAATATCAAAGTTGTGGAAGATGCCATTAGCTCCTCCTTTTTTACAAGTTCTTATGGAAACCATTTGATTTCCTTCACTAACCCACTGATGGAATTCGAGTTGAGACCGATATTCATACGAACTTAGAACCGAGCTATGCAGGTCTTTCGACGTGTTTCAACTTGTAGCCATGCTTGTGATGGAACATCAGCTTCCAAACTCTATTCATTGTGATAAAGCTTGGCATGGAGTAGATATCCATCCATCTTTGATGCTGCTTATTCAGTTATTTGCAGCTGAAATCATGGACACCTCACATGTAACAGTTCAAGTCTATCGTTGGTAGATATTGTCTTATTTAGGTTTTCGTCTTATTTAGGTTTTCCTATTTGAGTTTTCTTTCAAAGTTTTTAAAATGCATTTACTAGGGAGAAGTTTTCACACCTTTATAGGGAATGCTTCGTTCTCCTCTTCAACCGATATGGGATCTCACAATCCACCACCCTTTGGGGGCCTAACGTCTTTGCTGGCACACCAAGCCCACCGCTATTAGATATTGTTCACCTTGATCCATTATGTATTACTGTCAGCCCCACTGTTATAAAATGCATCTGCTAGGAAGAAGTTTCCACACCCCTTATAAGTAATGTTTCGTTCTTCTCTCCAATCGATGTAGAAAATCACAATGATTGACATCCGACAACCTACCTAACCGACATAATGATCGACCAAACATCCATAATGTTCGATACCGTATCTTGAGCCATTCTTCAACAAATGTCACATTGTTAGGCTTTGTATTGGACTGCATATTGGAGAATAATTGCAGAGCTTTGTTTCCATATCCATGAAAGAAAATCCAGTGATCATGTCCATGTTGAGACATCTTTTTCAGAAACATTGCCGGGATCTTCTCTAAATTTATGCGAATTCGTTAAATATAACGTCATATTAATTTATTATCAGATAGTTATAATATTGATGAAAGAAAATAACTTAATTTTAAAATTGTGAAAAAAATGAAAAGATTTGTATCTATTTAATCCATAAACTTTTAAAACGGTAGTCTCTAAACTTTCAAATTTTGTAAAATTTACAAATCTAGTACACTGTATCTATTGCTCTCCATTTGCTTGGACTCTACAGATCCGTTTTTGTGGAGGCTCCAAGCTAGCCACTCGCTGCCAAGACTCCGATCTTTCGATCTTGTTCACGGACACAGCTGGCAGTACCAGAGAGGACGACTCCTGCTGCCCACTGTCTACATGTGAAATGTCACCCAAGCCATTGTTGACTCCTATGTCATGTGCAACCACAGGTTTATTAGATGCAGGTTGATATAGATGGCATGAACCATCTTGCAATGGAACAGCGCCATCTGCTAACGCGTCGGAAGGGCTACCGTCCAACGAAGAGATGCCGACCGAGGTAATCTCAGACATGGCATGGAACATCGGGTTACCAGTAACTCGTTTAACAGTCTCCTCAGCCATTTTTATCTGTACGTATGGAAATAATGTTAGATGCATTTTGTGTTTAACCAAGATTACATCTTCAGCAAGTGGTAACTTTACATATACAACATTTTTCTTTTCTGAAGTGAGACGGAAAGTGCAACTGCACAAACCCACCGCTAGCAGATGCTGTCCTTTTTGAGTTTTCTTCTCAAGGTTTTTAAAACGCGGTCTACTAGGGAGAGGTTTCCACACCCTTATAAAGGATGTTTCGTTTTCCTCCCCAACTAATGCGGGATTTCACAATTCACCCTCCTTCGGGCCCAGCGTCTTCATTGGCACTCGTCGTTCCCTTCTCCAATTGATGTTGGACCCTCCAATCCCACACCCTTCTTTGGGGCCAGCATCCTTGCTGGCTCTATAATATCATTTACAACAGCTCAAACTCACCAATAGCAGATATTATCTTCTTTGGTCTTTCCCTTTCGGGTTTTCCCTCAAAGTTTTTAAAACACGTCTACTAAGGAGAGGTTTCCACACCCTTATAAAGGGTGTTTCATTCTCCTCCCCAACCGAGATCTCAAGCACGTGAGCAAAAAAGTTTCTAATGCACTAGGAGAGCTGACTACCAGTGGATTGTCATTGTACCTTTGCTCTTAATGTCTCAACGTTAGCTTTTAGAACGCGGTTATTGACGTTGGCTTCGTTGTATTTTTGGCTTATATCGGCAAGGCGCTTCAACAAGGTCGAATTTTCAAATCTTAGTTGTGCAACCTTAGATTAAGAAAAAAAAAATGAACCAATGTATCAATTTGGTAGATTTCAAAAGAGGTACTAAGGCACTGGACAAAGAGTTATACAGAATAGACACCTGAGTCTCGAGTTCGGTTAAATGTGCTTGCTTTCTTCTCCTTGATCGTCGAGCTGATTCTCTGTTCGAAAGCATTCTGAAAACAATGCCAACAATGAGAGATTTAATAAGAAATGGACTTTCGTAGTGTTATTAAGATAAAAGAAGGAAAGAGAACTCCACAAATAATTTGCACAATGTTTTAATCTCGATTGCAATTACCATGCAACTAAAACAACCACTTCATTTGTAATAACGACATGCAAACAGATAGTCTTTTTGGACTTTTCCTCGAAGTTTTTAAAACGCGTCTAGTAGATAAAGATTTCCACATCCTAAAAAAGAATGTTTCGTTCTCCACCTCAAACGATGTGGGATCTCACAATTCTCGGGGCCAGTGTCCTCGCTCGCGCTCATTCCCTTCTCTAATCGATGTGGAACCTCCCAATCCCCACCCCCTTTGAGACCCAGCGTCCTTATTGGCACACCCCCTTCCGAGCTCAACCTCCACGATGGCACATCGTCCGGTGTCTCGCTCTGATACCATTTGTAACAGCCCAAACCCACCGTTAACATATTGTCCTCTTTGGGCTAGCGTCCTCGCTCACACTCGTTCCCTTCTCCAATCAACATGGGACCTCCCAATCCACCCTCTTTGGGACTCAGCGTCCTTGCTAGCACACCCCCTTTGGAGCTCAACCTCCTTGCTAGCACACCCCCTTTGGAGCTCAACCTCCTTGCTGGCACATCGCCCAGTGTCTGGCTCTTATACCATTTATAAGAGTCGAAGCTCATCAATAGCAGATATTGCCTTCTTTGGACTTTCCGCCTCCCCTCAAAGTTTTTAAAACGCGACTACTAGGAAGAGGTTTCCACACCATTATAAAAAATGTTTGTTCTCCTCCCCAACCGACGTGGGATCTCACAAAACACCTTTCCTCAAATGAGAAATTATCAAATGCAAAAGAACACATTAGCCAGGATGGAGGAATTCATATTGCACATAGAAAGCACAATCAGATGAGAACAAAATTTATTAACACCACTATTCACACAATGCATTTGCAATAGAACACTATTCCCTAAATTAAGCAGATGGTTACCTCCTTATACGTTTTACATCAGCAGGGTCCTTACTCTCCGTTGTGTCAGTTTCTCCCTCAATCTCCTCATCATCCCACTGATCTCTTGATGATCCACTGGTAGTTGGCGAAGAACGAACCTCAGATATTTTTGGCACCATGGGCGAGAAAGTAACTCCATTTATATCCTTATCTGGTGGCCTTAATGAATTGTTCCCAGCTCCTACTTTACAAGCTACTAAAGTGGAGAGAGAGCTAAAATATGTTAACAATGTATAGTAAACGATGGAGAGTAAAAAGCGGGTAAAGCTATATACACGGTAGGTGACTATATACGTAGTAACTTGAACTTGAACTGTAACAATCCAAGCTCACCACTAGCAAATATTGTCTTCTTTGGGAAGGGCCCGAAAGGGAAAGCCCAAAGAGTATAATGTCTGCTAACGGTGGGCTTAGGTTGTTACATGAACAAAAAAGAAAGTCCAAAGAGGACAATATCTGCTAGCAGTGGGCTTAGTCTATTACATGAACCATATGTATAACCCAGTACTTTGAAAATGTGCCCAAGGAGGACAATATCTGCTAGTGGTAGGTTTAGGTTGTTACATGAATATAAAGGAAAACCCAAAGAAGACAATATCGGCGGGCAATGGGCTAAGGTTGTTAAATGAACCATATATATAACTCAGTGCTTTGAAAATGTACTGTATTCTCTCTTACTGTACATACTGAAGGCATCAATATATACCTTTAGCCAATATTTGTAACGACTCAAACTCACCACTAGTAGATATTGTCTTCTTTGGACTTTCTCTTTCTAGCTTCCCCTTGAGGTTTTAAAAACACGACTGCTAGGGAGAGGTTTCCACATCCTTATAAAAGGTGTTTCGTTCTCCTCCCCAACTGACGTGGGATCTCACTATATTCCTCCTTCTATTTTCTCTCTCCTGTTCTATTTAGATCGAGTGTGTGCGTTGTTGTGCGATCCTAACAATACATATAAGCTCGTAAAGAAAGGCAAAAGTCTAACGACATCTTGTGAGAAACGAAAATATAGAGATGCAGTAATCCCAACCTTTGGGAGCTTGAATTCCCAACGTATTAGATGCTTGTGATCTACAGTCAGATGAGGTAGAAGAAGTTGGAGTCTTTGTAAAGGATCCCTGTTTATACAGAAAACAAAAGCTCACCAACTTTAGCTTGAAAAAAAGCCCAAGTTTCTCTCTAGATTAACTAATGTGAAAGTAAAGCTATTACATACACCTAACAGAGAAGAACTATTAGTGTATGAAATTAACATCAAGATGACTAGGAGCCAGGCTAGAGGAGTACAAGTAGCTTTAAAAGACATTGGAATTGGAGTCCAAAGATAGCATTCAGCTAATTATATCCTAAGCCTCAACTGACCCTTGGTACTAACGTGTGCCAGCGAGGACGCTAGGCCCTTGAAGGAGACGGATTGTGAGATCCCACATGGATAGAGAGACACTAGGTGGTGTGCGAAGGAGGACGCTAGGCCCTTTTGAATAGAGGAACAAGTGCGAGCGAGAACACTGGGCACCAAAAGAAAATAGATTGTGAGATCTCACATCGGTTGGAGAGACACCAGGTGGTGTGCCAATGAGGACGCTAGGCCCCTTTAAAGAGAGGAATGAGGGCCAGCGAGAACGCTGGGTCCCGAAAGGGAATAGATTGTGAGATCTCACATCTGTTGGAAAGACATCACGCGGTGTGCCAGCGAAGACACTAGGCCCCTTTGAAGAGAGGAACGAGTGTCAACGAAAATGTTGGGCCCCGAAGGGGAATAGATTGTGAGATCCCACATCGATTGGAGAGATGAACAATACCAGCGAGGACGCTAGGCCCTGAAGTGGAGTGGATTGTGAGATCCCATATCAGTTGGAGAGACACCGGACAGTGTGCCAGCGAGAACGCTAGGCCCCTTTGAAGAAAGGAACTAGTGAAAGCGAGGAGGTTGGCCCCAAAGAGGAATAGATTGTAAGATCTCACATCGGTTTGAGAGACATCAAGAGGTGTGCAAGAAGACGCTACGCCCTGAAAGAGGGTGGATTGTAAAATCCCACATCGTTGAAGAGAGAAAACAGTACCAACGAGGACGTTGGCCCCGAAGGGAGTGGATTGCGAGATTACACATCGGTTGGAAAAGGAACGAAAACTTCTTTCTGAGAACATGGAAACCTCTCCTAGCATACACATTTTAAAAACTTTGAGGAGAAGCTCGAAAGTAAAAGCGCTAGGATCGATACATAAACAGACATAACAACAACGAAAGAGCCCATCCAAAATGTAAAAATCATTACTCAGATTTCCACCCTAAAAATACCCTCATCAACAGAACAGAGAAAAGAAATCAATAACAAGAAGAAACAAACAAATAAGGGCAAAGTTTACCCTCTTCTTAGCAACCGCAGCACAAGCCAATTCAAGCCTGCTCTTAAGAAACGCTTGATATTCCTCCGAATCGATCGGAATATTCGACGGTACAGCATTGGAAGAAACGCTGCTGCTATTGCCATTACTAACACCACCATGATTAGCATTATGTTTCTGCGACTGATCACAGTCAGAGCCCTTGATCTCAATCCCTTCGCCATGGTCTGCAGCAGAGCAATGAGGGGAAGTTTCAGAGGCCTCTTCAAGGAAGCGCTGGAAGGCCCACTCAGACGCGCTACGGCTCATTTTCGAGCCGCCGCCGGCCGGCGGAGGTTCGGCGACCGGAACAGACGACCAGTACTGATCAGAAATTTCACCCGCCGAAAATACCCTATCCATTTTCTCTCTCCCTCTCTCTTTCTCCAATTGTCCTCTTTCGTCTTTGTCGACTCTTTTAACTCAGATATGCAGGGTATTTTCGTCATATAGAATAAAGTCTACGTGGCATGGAGGGTATTTTCGGGATATGTATTTTTTTAATTTAGTTCTTTAAATTTAAATTAAAACTTTAATCCATAAATTTTTATGATTTTAATTTTATACTTTTAACATATTTTTTAAATCATAGAAAATTGAAATTTTAATTACTATTAAATATTTTCCATTAAAAATAGAGAAAAATCTAATAAATGATTTAATTTCTAATTTTTTATTTTTTAGGATTAAATTAATAAATATTGCTTTTATCTTACGAGATTATTTCTTTTGTTATCTTAATTCTTATCCATATTTTTAAAAATCAACCAGTTTTTTATTAGAAAAAAAGTGAAATGACCATAAAGCCCCTCGCAAAAGACAATGGATAATATCATTTTGTGGGTACCAATGGAATTTCTCCAGACAATCTTGGCCAAGTGGGTCCCAGTGGTTGGCTTTCCTCTGATACGATACGCCGCCTCTATGTGGATAACCACAACGTGGGGCCCACATTTAAAAATTAAAATACAATTTTTAAAATCTATTAAAAATAAAAATATTAAATAAGAAATTTAAATTTTCTAAGTTAAAATTAAAAATTTAGTAACCTATTAAATATATTTAAAATTTTGTTGACCAATTAAATAAATTTATTTTTGATAATTAAGACTTTATTAAATTTATTAAATGCTTCAACTTTATTTTTTCAAAAAATCGTTACGTTCCATCTAATTTCTACGGTGTAATCTTTAAAATTTTGAAGGAAACGATCGTAGAGTACGTAAATATTTGATGCTTTGTTGTTCTATAATGATACGGATTTGACCTGTTACTATCCACTTCAGAGCATCATAAAAGAGATACCTAATTAAAGTGGATAAAAAGAGTATTTATTGTTAAAAATAAACAAATAATAATAATAATTATTATTATTATTATTTAAATAATTCATAGGTCATAAGAAAAGGAAAAAGTATAAGACCAATTTGTGGGGAATATGGATCGACACAACTTGGAGGCCCATATTAAAATATGGCCCACACCATGTGGGCCCATATAGATCTTTCACGTCTCTTCCTAAACTTATGTTCGGAAATATAACTAATCAACTCAGCTATGCTTAAATTGGTGTGTTTAACCAAAATTAATATACATAGTCTATTTTAAATGTATAATCTTTCACAAGAAAAAGTATGGAACGGATTACTTTAATGATCAATATCAAGGATAAAGAAAATTCGTTTCTAAATTCGTGATTCAAATAACTCCATAATAGGTTTGATCAATACTACTTGAATGACTCTAACCATGCATGTTCTAAACACAATCAATTGCAAATAAAAACTTAGCTCTAAGGTAAAATAAAAATTTTATTCTTAATTCCTCTAATTGTTGTAATCAAAGAAAATAAGGCTTTATATAGCCTTTATAACCTTAACTGATATGATACATAACTCCCAAATTAAGTGTACGAGTAAATGAGAAATACCCATAACCTCCATATTAAAATGGTCAGTTAATGTGGAATATGGTAACCTGCGTGCGTCACAATATAACCTTAACTTCTATATTTAAAACTACCTTAAATATGACAAACAAGGGATTAAATTATAATTAAATAGTGCTATAAATGAAATGTGTTTATTAGTCATTCTTGACTAGTTTCATAAATTCAACTGAGTTCATTAAATGCAACTTAAAGTGCATTTAATTAATCTCTTTCTTGAACCTCAACTTTGAGCAAGGTCTTCAATTTGTTCTAGAATTTTTTTTTATGAGCTCACCATAGCTTGAATATAAGTGTATAAGGTTTGTTGTAGCTTATTGGCTCTCGTCCTTGTAATTGGACCTTGAGGTATGGAAATTCATTGTAATTGGACCTTGAGGTATGGAAATTCATTGGTCGTGGTTCATATCAAGGACATTACAATGTTTTTAAAATAATATATATAAAGCACTCTCGAGATGCTCAGAGTTATTGTGTTGGTTGTTATTGTTGTTTAGTTGTCGTAGATCCATTAAGTTCTTTAAAGAAAAGCGGTTGTAAGGAGCGGAACATCGGTCGAATCAACCGATTTCGGAAGGGCCCAATACAAGTAAAAATTACTATAGTTTCCATCCAATTTTTAAAGTTACCATTCAAACTTGCAAAAGTTTAGGGATTACAAAATATATATAATAATAATAATAATTTATGGTTTATTTATTTTACAAAATTTTAAATTATTATATAATTTTATTAATTTTCAATTCAATAACTAATAATAATAATAATTTATGGTTTATTTATTTTACAATTTTTTAAATTATTTAATAAAGCAAAATTTTATAATGAAAAAAAAAATTGCAATTAGCTAAAAAGTCAAAAATATTTTTAATACATTAAATTATTTTAAAAATTACATTACATGTGGGACCCATATAATTGTATTTTATTTATTGGAATTAAATTGAAACCAAGTTGAGATATAATTGTAAATTAAGTCAAACATAATTAATTAATTAATTAATTGTTTTTCTTTCCTTGTACGTTATTTGTACCAAAAATAAATAAATAATAAATATTTTCCCTATGGTCAAAAGTTGAAACTTAGGATAGGGCTTCATTTTACTTAAATATCATGATATTATGACATATTATATAGTTTCCTTCTATGATAAACTCTTAATTTTTAATTAATCATATATATATATATATATATATATATATATATATATATATATATATATATATATATATAT